AAGAGGCTTAAGGAAGCTTAAAAGCAAATACTATTTCCGATACCAAAACGTGAAAAAAGGGTACTCAAGCTGAAAGAAACTCTTGTCTCTCCGACTTCCTTTGACGATTACTTTAAAAGTGCAATATCGGTTTATGTTGGCCAGTGTGCGTTCGTATAAACATTTTATGAGGTGCCTTTACGTACTTAAACATGTTTGGTTGTGAACATTTTGTGGACATGCGCATATGTAGTTCTGTATAAAAAAGTAGAAAAGTGGACTTCATGTAGTTCTTCAGTAGGGTACGTATAAATATGAAAATATGTAGAATATTTCTTTCTGTTTGAAAATAAAACGTTGGGCGATTTAAATTGTGGCCTATACCGCTCAGCAATAACACCGTATTCTGCGTGAATCTCAAGTTGAACTTTGTTACGTTTCTAAAACTGAGGTAAAGATATACCTAATTTTATTTGAAACACTTCTTGAATCCGTAACAAAATTAAATATAAAGTAGTGTATGCCCTTCTTGTTGGCGTTTATAGTTGTGGCACAATATGTGCTTGAATGTCGGTACCAACGTTTCAGCTGAACGTGCTACCTCCATCTGCAGGGCTGAAGTCCATCGCAGCCTTAACATCTCAAATCTCATACAGTGTATGCCTGTTACGTATACCGAAGATCGCGTTATTGCCCCGCGGAATCTTACTTCGTTTTTGGGAGGTCACGAGTTCAAATCTCAACCCCAGATAGTTTTTCGTTGCTTAGGTACGTATTTGTATCGCCAAGTCCGTTTTGCACAGTGTTCTTTTTTCATTTAAGACGTGTGTTTTTGAAAGACATTTATTTGGAAGCTTGAATACATAGCTTTTACCAGGTGTAAACCCTAATGCATATTCAGAACAAAATTTTAGGAGTATTCTGCAGGTCCACCATCCTGTTCTACTTAACAAGTAAATGATCCAGTGCTTGAATTTATGAATTAGTGTTGTAGAACTTTACATAGGATACCCCAAAGTTGCGCTTCTTTTATTTGCAAAGGGCGACGTTACAGCCTAGAATACTACTTTGTATTGAGTCATTTTTAGTATCCAATCCGTTAAGTAAACGCTTATTCTGTTGATGTGATTGCTTTACTATGATGCGGGTATACAAAGTTTAGTTTGATATTAATATTAGTAGTTAGTACTGAAATTAAGTATATGTGGAGCTTTACCTCCGCTCCTTCTAAGTCTTCATGGTGTGGTGCTTTGTTAAACACGGGACTACGTCTTTATTGCATAGTGTTCGATTAACAACAGGCCCAAGTTTGTCTTTTATTAAAATTTATCATAATACCTTAAATTATGACTGCATAGATGCAACTAAAGTAGTTCATAGCAGGATCCTATTACAGGATTTTTATGTTGGTGACGCAGAAAGAGCTCCTGTTGGTCAGTTTGCCTGTCGGTGGGATTTTTCGATTACTTGTAAAATATCACCTATTGTCTTGGAGGATATAATGCGCACTAAAATGTGTTGCATGTTAAAAAGTGAGTTATTTTCACATGGAAGCTTTCCGACTCAGAGATCAAGAGAACGGGATTTGAAAGCCGTTTCTAGTACCGCCTGTCGAATGCGGCTTGTCCGTGTGCTCCTCCTACCTGTCGCAGAACCGGACATACACTCCGACAGAAGACGGGGACTTGGAGCGTATTCACGCATGGCTTGGGATTTATTAATGTGGTCGCGTGGGCATTAACTGCGGATTGTCAAGTCTAATGACAACCCTTTGCAATAGTGAATTACAGTGGAACGGCATGGTACGTTGTTTAAAAATTCAATATCTCGGGTTCCATATTAGGTATTCAAGCGGTCAGGTATCGCGTTGAGAATTCATAGGGTTAGTTGGTATCAGTTCGTAAATAGGTGATAGGCTATCAACCTACAAATCTGTAAGGTTCACCTATCAGTTTAAATGTTGTCAAGACGGTGAACATAATAAATGTCCCTCAGTATTTAATTCTGTTTTCAACTTGTAAATGCATTTGTCAACTGTTTCTTTCTGCGTAATCACCCTCCATCGGTACAAATTTATGTTCGTCTCTTACGAGGTTAGTAAATTCTGCGTCAAGAAAGTTTATTCTAAGTCTCTGCAGGAAATGACGAGCGTGCTGTGTGGGAGTTGCTGGTTGCATTAAAATTGTGGTCTCACATGGGAAAAGGTCGATTGCCTTTTTAATGTGTATTGTAATACTGGTTTGTTTCAGGAGGACGGAACGTATGAAACCCGTAGTCTTCTGATCTTTACGGCAACCAGATTCGAGAACGGGGAAGTACTCACGTGCAAGGGAGCCAACTCTGTTATGCTACAGAAGGATGAGAAGCCCTTGAAACACACGCTCACTCTTGAGGTCCTGTGTAAGTACAAACCTTTGCACGCAACATGCAATTGTATCTTGCTTCAGTGACACAGTCTGGAATCTGCAGTGTACCGGAACATTCTCGCATTGGCCTATTGTCTACCACGCTGTTAGTGGTCACGTGAGGAGGAATGAAATGTAAAGTTGTTGAGTCCCGGAAAAATCAGATGAAAAATACGTAGTTCTGAAATTAGACTTTGAGAGGTTAGCCTTTCTACATTCAGGGTACATACAGATCATTCTTCATTTTTTATTTCCAGCAAGATAGACAAAAACGATGTCCACATTCTTATTCTAATGCAAGGTTTCGCAAACATGTTGGTGGCGGAACCTTTTCGATTATGCAAAAGTCAACGAAACAGAAAACCAGGCAAAATGAAAAAGGGAACAAAGCGACTTCTGTAGGACGCAAAGGAGACACGGTCTGGGACTCGTGTGACTATGACTCTTTTTTTTCCTCCAAATGCTTCAGTCCATATGATGAGGACGACATGAACTTTAAAATTAAAATTAATCAATTATTTACACTTACAATTTTCACTCGTACAGGTTTTGAATACATCAAATTTTAAGAATTCGTGTTTTTGAGGAAAGTTAATTCAGTGAAATCCTCAGAAATGCATGTTATTTCCTGATATTTAGGCATATGCAAACTAAGAAACTTTGGAAACTAATTTCATATTCTCACGGCTGATCTTTCAGTGAAGTTTTCCCAGTATAATCTCGGAAGTTTTGTACACTCGCCAGGTTTGTAATTGTAAACATACACTAATATTTCGTGCGGAAGCAAGCTTCTTGTTATTCAATATTCGCGCACAAAGTTCCAGGTGCCTGTTTAGAGACAAAATTTCATATGTATCTCTCGTCTCCGCCTATATCATCCTACTTAATTTGATCATCATAATAATATTTGGTTTAAAGTAAAAAATTATGAAACTCCTTATTACGTAAGTCTCTCCATCTTCCTGTTACCTCATCCGTCATAGATACTAACATTCACCGCAGTCTTCTATTCTCAAACACCCTTAATATGTGTTATTCCGTTAATGTACAGAATCAGTTTCATACCCATACAAAATAATAGGTAAAGTTGTAGTGTTTTATAGTATTAAAGTTATTACTTTCAACATTGTTTCGCCGTTAATTCCAAGATTTGCGCTAGGTAACTCGTTCTTAAACTTCTGCGTTTATATAATATTCTCGTAAAACAGTTTTAATTGATAGCATTTAATGGTTATTCGGAAATTTTCTTAGGCTTGTTCGTCAAGTTCTTTCACTTGGAGTTACATAGTTAAGCGAAAGTGGCAGAAAAAAATCTATACAAAATATGTACGTAAATAAGCAAGCGAAAAATTATATGACATGCGAAATATTTTACTCAGTAGCTTCCTTAGCTTTCATGTAATATTGAATTATAGGTAGACTATTCCAAATCGAGATTAGACGTTTATCCATGTTCATCTTTGGTGACAAACGCCCTAACTTAACCTAACCCATCCTAACCAAACCTGATCTAACCTAACCTACTCTATAGTCAACTCTCTTTTACTGTCTTCCGTTCTCCTTTCTTCCCTTACTCTCTCTTTTCTCATCCTCTGAGCACCTTTCTTTCTTTCTTTTCTACTCTTTCCATGCATCTTCTCCTCTAGTACCTACGTTTATCATCTCCACTCCCCTTCTTCTCTCTTCTCATCTTTTCCCATTTTCATTTCTAAATTGACTTCTGTGTATTTCTCCCTTCACTTCTTTTTATCTGTCTTCTCTCTCCTCTTCTCACCTCTTCTCTTACCCCTCTTTTCTCCCTCCTCCCCCTTTTTTCTCTCCCTGTCACTCTCTTCTCAAATCTTTTCGTCTCTTCTCTTATTCTCTCTTTCTTCCTCCTCCTCTATTTTCTTATCCACTCTCTTCCTCTCTGTTCTCCCTTCTCTCATTTTACCTATTCTCTTCTGTTGCTTTCACTTCAATTCTGTTCTCTTCTGTCCTCTGCTCAACCGTCTTGACCCTTCTTCCCTTGTCTCGTATAAGCTATCCTAATTTAACCGACTTTAACCGCCTGGGTTGAGTAGTATTTGCTTAGTTTACGTTAGGGTGGGATACGTTACGTGTTTTTGTTGTCTTATGTGTGTGTATTAAAGTACAGTAACGAAAAATATCTAACGGTGTAAGTGACGTTTCTCAATAAATTACACTTTTTTGTCAAATGAAAATATCTTCCCCCGAGATTTAATATGTCTTAGGCTCTAACGTTACTGAATCGGAGTTTCTGTTTCAAGCTCTTGTGTATCCATGCCTATGTCATTATCTTATACGGATTAAGAAGCTGTTATTATGTCCCAGCACTCTCGAAAGACAAGAGTATTAAATGTGAAGTTCTACATTAGGAAGATTCTTGGTTTTTATTTATAAACGAAGAGATTTCATACAATTTAGTTTCACTGTTATTCTCATTTGTAAATGTTCAGTGAATTGGGTAGACTTTGCTAATTTACATAACACAAGAGCCCTAATCCATACTATCAGGTTATTTGTTTCGGGTTATTTTTGTTGAAAATATGCGGATATTTAAGAAAGTTCTCGAACATATAAATTATATCACAGACAACGTAAATGGGTCTAATTATGTAAAGGTACCTAAGTACTGAAATATACTTACTCTAAAGATAGTACATAAATATACAATCACGTTCTTTGTGTTTAATTATGGTATATTTATTTTAATAACTGTGAAATTTATTGAAATTAATTAGCAATAACGTCTGGATCATTTTTCTCAATTTTTACAAGCGACTATAATTATTAAATTAACCTTAAACGGTGCGATCACTCTGATGATGGTGGCAGCGAGGACATCCGATACGTCAGTAAACGTATTATGACACACTTTACCTTCTCATTTTGCGTTATTATTTGTATTCTATGCAACAAATATACAAAATACAGTGTGAAATGTACCCAGGAAGCAGTAAGCAGTTTTGGATTCGCTCAGCATCTGAGTTCTTTTAATGTGGAATGCCTCCGTTTCTATTCCAAAGATGATGAGGTTAATGCAGTGTGCTTGATGAGAATGCTTCAAGAATAAGTTTCTGTGTCAAGAAACTCGTCGAAATTCTCATACAAATAAAACAGTGTTTATATTGACATGCCTGGCAGAGCTGCAGGCCGATCGTATAAAATGTCGTTAGTTACGTGAAACATTAGTTAGAGAACTGAAAGGCTTATCACGCAGAAGGAGGAATTAAGTTGCTCGTAATAAATCGGGATTGTCAAAACATTTTACTTAATAAGCCTCATTGTTTCTTAGAAACGAGAACCGTTGACACTAATTCAGAAACTGTCGAAACTGTTGAACACCCTGAACGTGTAATTCTACATGTAGACTACGTCAGAAGTCGGTTGTCTCGAGAAAGGGTTTGCAATGTTTATTATCTTAGTATTTATCGGAATTGTGTCTTGTCATTTTGTGTTGTGCGGAAGGCGCATGGCTCTTAAGTGTGCGTCATTTCACATATGCCGGAAATTCAGTAAATTAAAATGTACGTTGATAAACTTTATATCATATTTATTAGGTGTTCTTCACGCTCTGTCGTAAACGAAGAACATCACATAAGCCTGTCCATGTCTGTCTGTCTCTGTTTTCTTAAAGAACTAGGCAACACGCATTTCTTCGGTTATTGTTGTAGGGTGCAGGCTTGCGAATGTAGTGTTTTGTTAAAAAATTGTTTAAATTAAAAGAAAATATTTTGGTCCAGTATTTTGTAATGCAACGCAAAAAGCATTTTTCTACACTTAGGTTCTGTAAACTATTTACGTATTTTACTGGACCTTATGTTAACATCGGGATGGCGAAATGGAAGTCATAAAGTAGTGTCATCTTCACACTAAGCTTAAAATTTATGGTTTTAAAACCGAAAGCTAAAACTCCACCAACGTTATTATGTACTTCCTGTGTACAAAGTTCAGTGTCGCGTAACCTACATTCTGTACGACAGAAATACGCAATGTAAACTGAAATAATTAGTCAGATGGTAAGTTATGGGAAGGTATAATTGCAGTATCGTACGCAATATCAATGGACCTAGACTTGTTTCTCGTTTGTATGCTTTACAGTTCTATATTTATGTTACTTGGCTTTGAGACAGAATTTATGTTATCCTAAAGGACAATAATAGCAAGAATTTCAGTTTATCGAACATTTTAACCTGTGAATTTTTCGTAGTTTTCAAATTTTATGTTTTAATAATTTTTAAGCCGGAATAATTGCTGGTAAATATATATTAAATCCTCTCGTCATTAGTAGAGCATAATCCAATTGCAGCAACAGGCAATGGGACACTTCGAAATTTAATTTATTTTGTCAAAATTAGAGAAAATTTGTCATTTGAACTCACAGGCATTTCGCATCGTTTCTCACAGTATTACACATGGAAATTAATAATTACGTGAAAAAACCAAACATCTTTCAGATATGATATAAGCATTTTTTCTGTAACGTCAAGGGTTTAAAATCGAACAACCTAAGATAAACTCCAAATTATTTGTCGATTAGGGATTATATATTAAAATGCATAAAACAGACATGTTCCCGCTATAATTATGCGTACTTCAAAGAAATTGTTATTCAGCGTGTAACTTGAACGAAGAAACCTGTCGTTGAAAGCACAATAGATAAAATCAGTTTCCATTCAGTGTTGAGTAATGAAAAATAGTTTTCGTGAGTGCTCATAAAGGGGAAAATAAAATACTCTTCGTGTACACTTGTTTAGAGCTTGAATAAATATATCGCTTACAGCATCTGAATAGCAGAAGGGCATACAGAATGCCTGCTCTCACGCTGAAATAAAAATTGAACGTTGTGCCTTGCTGCAAATACCCACACACCAGGAATCTAGTCTTTGTAAGGTAGCGTAAAGGTTTTCTTTTTTCACACTTTCTTAAGTCAATTATTAATCAATGGTTTCCAAGTTGGGTTTCGAATTCTGTGTTCTATTATATATACAG